TATTAATATAATTAGTGTTTACTTCGCATGCACACTTCAAACTTCGAGCTTCTGTTTCAGGAAAAGCTTTTGTTGTTTTATTACAAAATTTTCGACTGATTTTCGCGTCGACCAATTTTCGCGTCGACCAATTTTCGTATCGATCAATTTTCGTTCAATCATTTTTCATTCGACCATTTTTCGTTCGACCAATTTTCGTAGACCCGTTTCACAGTAATATCAAAAAAAAACATGAGAATTTTTATTTGTTTTTTTTTTAGTGTTATTCTTGGTACAACAGCAGAACAATTAATTATAATGCATCATCATGGTAATACAATAGAAATTATTTCATTATCAACACAATCAATTAAACAATTAATTTATTCATGTAATAAATTTTATCCTAAAGCACCAGATAATAGTAAAATAGTTTATTTTCTTTTAATATTTTTTTACATAAATATTTTATTTTCTTGCCAACCCAATAGATGCAACAAAATTTGTCAATGATGATTATATGCTTGTCGGTAGTCTTGAAAATGAACAAATACTTTTTCTTAATAATTATCAAGATCAATCATCGATTGTTGTTGATACTAAACTTCAAAGTAAAAAAAGACAGATATGTTTTTGTTTTATTTAATTTTAAAAATAGATATTAAAATTGATTGGTCATCATCTGGAGAAATACTTGCTATTGGTGGACATAAACGTTTAAAGGATATTAATTATACGAATCAAATTATAATTTATACTCGTCGAGGAGAAATTTTATGTCGTGTTTATATTCCACAAACCGTTTGTTCAGAGTTATTAGAAGAAAAAACCTAGTTCATTAATCAAGTTAGGATATTAATAACAGAAAAATATGAAGATTTTATCACTTATGATCATCGTCTCGGAGTCTAGACGAAGAATTTTATTAACTTACAATTAATTTAATTAGTATGTATGGTATGGACTATAAATTTGCACTTAATTTCTGATAGAAAGAAAAATTTAATGCGTTAAAATTTAATTAAAAATAGAAAAAAAGGTAATGAAATCGAAATTAAGATCAAAACATAGAGATGAGATTGGCTAGTGTTTCTTTGGAACTGCATCAAGTGAAAACTTATCTTTGATATTAGTATCAGCCTATATGTAAAAAAAAGATTAAATTTTTCGCATGATTATCCGTACCAGCACAATGTATCGAAGTTTCTGATTATTGTTCATCATGATTCAGAATGATCACATTTATTTGAATATACAATGTGCATTGGGTAATCAAAAAAGTTCTCGGCACATCTTGGCTTTTATCAAATAAATGGTAATTTCCAAAAATCTTATGTCTCATTCAATTAACTCAATTGTTACATACCTTTTGTAAGCGAAAATGTGATATGGCATGAGGCTCCCTGTTTACAGCTTGTTTTAAAGATTTGAAATGAGAATCACTGCCTAATTAATAAATCGGATGAGTTTCGATTGCTGAGCGGCAGTGGCTGAGAAAAAGGAACTCAGGATGAGCGAAAATACATCGGTGGCAATCACGAGAAGTGACGGGACGATGATGAGTGAGTGAAAATCCGGATATTGGAGATCTAAGGATGGACGATTAATGGTCAGAGTGAAAGTGAGTTGCCATGAGAAAACGATAGTGGATGGATGTATGAGATTATAATTTAGATCCACGAACCGTCTATTTTCACCCATCCTGATTCTTTCTTTCTCAGCCACTGCCGTTTACCCATCGAAACTCATCCTCATCATTAATTAGACAGTGATTCTCATTTCAAATCTTTAAAACAAGCTGTTATCAGAAAGCCTTATGCCATATCACATTTTCGATCTCAAAAGATATGTAACAATTGAGTTAATTGGATGAGACTTCGTGTGACAAATAAGGACAAGTACCTTGAACGTTTAATAAAATAAGGTTTTCGAAATTACCACCTATTTAATAAAAACCAAGATGTTCCGAAAACTTTTTCATCACCCTATGTAAAAAAAGAGAGAAATTAGCAAGTGACGTCATATTTGTTCGAAAACAATTGATCGAATTGAGATCATCTTGTAAAACACAATTGATAATGAATGTTGAATTCTCCATCAAGAAAATTAAATGATTATTACAAACATTGATCAGTGTAGATTACAACATAGTAGTTGCTAAGATATCTCTCATTTACTACCATCTCTACACATCATGACATAGTACTTTATATTAAAACTTTTTTTAATCTATATTCTATTTTTGTTTCCAGACTCAATCATTATCTGCTCTATGCTGAGCTCATGGTAAATGATAAAAAATAACAACAACAGCTTAAATCTTTTATCAATTTTTTACTTTCTAGAAATTGTTTTTGTTGCATATGGTTCATTTGTTTATACAATATGAATAATACATAAATCATTACCGTCCATGTGAACAATATGTTAGATGAAAAAAAAATTTATTAACTAATTTCTTAGACAATCTTGATAAAAATTTTTTACCAAATAACTTCAAGTAAAATCTTTTTTCTTTAGATCGTTCAACAACAAAAGGTTCTTTACCAGAACGAAAAACTCTATGTTCATTTCCACGTTATCCATTAAAATCTCATCTTTGTTTACAATATACAATGAAACGTATTGATAATAAAATAGAAAACTCATCAACAAAAAATAATTTATCGGGAGCTATTTATATTTTATCTTTAGAATTTCTTGGTGATCTTATATCATTATTAACAGCAAAACGTATATCAAAAATTTGTCCAGATTTTATTACATATGATTCACAAATAAAAACAAATGATTTATCATCATCATTATCAAAAATAAATTCGTCAAAAATTACAACAACAAAAAATGTCTTTATCATTAAAACCACATTCAAATACATTTCATAATATATCACAATCAAAAATTATACATAATAATAATAGTAATCGTTCAAATTTAAGAAGTAATCCAAATTCGATATACGTGTATGCAACTGAAACAGATGTTAATAGTGATAATGATGATTTAACACTAATAAAAAGTAATTCAAATTATAATACTGAATACAATTCAGCTGAAGAAGATAATCATAATCTAAATGTTTTACAAGAAAAAAAAACAATTAAAAATAAATATGTAAGACAAAAAATATGTTTATTTATATATTCTCAATAAAATAATTATTTTTCTTTTTTAGACAAATAAATTATGTACAATTGCAGCTAATATTTGGGGTCCACGTTTTAAATTTTATAGTCATTCAAATTCTTTACGAGAAACCTTATATAGTTTTACTTATCAAACATCATTTTTACATTTACAACCTCGATAAATGACTGTAACAATTGCTAATAATTGTAATATACATAAGCAAAAAATAAAAAATCTAAACAACAAATATCTAATAAAATAAATGAAAAAGAAAATAATGAAATAATAATTCCATCATCAAAAAATGAATATACCTTCTAGTACACCTATTGCTCCAATGTTACCACAATTACAAAATGTTTATTCTCAACAATCTTCATCTTAGGTTAAATCTAAACATATATCTCCTGCAACAACAACAGTCATTCTTCACCATCCATGACAAACTAATATTGATTCATCAGCTGCTAATTCTTCATCAACATCACCAATTAATTTAAGTCGTTCAACATCTCCAGCAGCTTCAATAGCAAATTTTATTCGTCCTATACCACCACCTTGTATTTAAGTAAAATAACCTTTATCACCAATGGTGTGGGTGTGGGTGTGTCACTTGAGCTCAATCACACTCATACCTCCAACACGCACAACGACATACCCACACCCAAAGAAAAATGAATTTAAAAAAATGAAAAATAATGAGTAGATAGCAACGATTCAAACAGAAAATAGAGCGACCATAGAAAAAATAGAAAATTTTTGTTTGAAATGCAGGCATTAGAGAGGTTCTTACTCTGGAGATCGATTATTCTGAAAAACAACAATAGCCTACGAGAGATTGGTCACTTTACATATTTTGTATCAGTTTAATGAGGCTAGAGAACATATAAGTTTCACATTTCAGCCCCAAAGGGACTGCGCTAACAAGCTTTTTTAATCTATTTTTAGAGTATTAAACATGATCTATTTGTATCATTTTGCATAATCGAAAAGTTTAAGGTTGAAAGTCTTCAACTGATAAAATTCCATTTGTAAGTTTTAAATTCAAGTTTTCTCATAGTACAATAAGGATCTGAAATCTTGCTGAATGTTTTGATTATAATCAAGAAAAGTTAACTAACCAATAGAAGTTGAATTTGATAAAATTTCCTATCTCGAGTTCACTTTTCTCAAGTGCTTTCATTTTGTCTTGACAGTTTTTTGCAGCTGTTATCTCATATAAATATAACAATATCTAGATATCGAGAAACTTAAAAATATGAAGCCTATGTTATGAAAATCAAATCTTGTAGCGCATTTTATCTTCCTATCAGCATTAGTAGCTTTTGAGAAGCCTTTCAGTTCTATTAAATAATGATTTCTATTTATAAAACATCAAATTTATTAATTCTTGTGAAGAAAACAAAGTATAGATGTTATCCGATAAAATCTATATGAGTTTTACATTTTATATACTATCAATGCAATTTAATCATATAGATTATATTATTAAATATTTTACTTGTTATAGTATTCTAATACTTTCCTTTCTTGTGTTCTCTATTAAATCATCGACAATACATGCGTTCATTGTGATAAATTTTTTTTTTGTAAACAACAGCTGAATATAAATGATACCGGTACGAGTAATATCGCAAATAACCTTAAAAGCTACAAAAATACGTATAACTATATATTAATTATTACCATAAGATAAGGGTAAGATAGTCCCAGTTCTGGCAATACCGAAACGAACGCTCTTTGTTTTGAAACGATATACTTTATGATAGCGTATAACTTGCGTCGAACGTCATAATACCATGACTCATGTCTTCTAAATTGTTATAGGCAACATGATTCAGACGTAGTTCCGCCGGGTCCGAGACCAAAAATGACTGATTCCTTTCACCTAATGTAATCTGTATGTCTATTAGCAT